TGTTGGTCAAATTCTAGAAGAGTACTGAGCTCCCTGTTAGTATTTCAATTTACCTGTCCCTTTTTGTTCCCCTAAACCTTACACCAACCACCCACCTATACAAAAAGGCTGCAAAAAAATAGTCTGTCATGCCCAGTCTCTTCTGAAGTCACACTAAAAACAAGTAATCTAAAAAACTGGGGGAAGCGGGGTGGATAAGACAACATTTCAGGAGATCAAGACCATCCTGGCCAACATGGCAAAACCCTGTCTCTACTAAAAATACAAAAATTAGCCGGGCCTGGTGGCACAGGCCTGTAGTCCCAGCTACTTGGGAGGCTGAGGCAGAATTGCTTGAACCTGGGAGGCAGAGGTTGCAGGGAGCTGAGATCACACCACTGCTCTCCAGCCTGGGCAACAGAGCGAGGCTGTCTCAAAAAGGAAAAGGATAAACAATATTCTGCCAGCTTTCCAAAGTGTGGATATCACAGATTACATCACAGAACCCTCTGACTCCCTCGAAAGATGTAGGAATTGGCAGCCCAAGTACCTGTAGAAACACAGATAAAACAAGTCAAAAGAGGATTGACTGAAATTCACTTAACAATCAGTTAAACTGGCTGGGCGTGGTGGCTCACGCCTGTAATCCAAGCACTTAGGAGGCCAAGGCGGGTGGATCACCTGAGGTTGGGATTTCAAGACCAGCCTGACCAACATGGTGAAACCCTGTCTTTAAAAAAAAAAAAAAAAAAAAAATCAGTTATACCTCCAGATCCTCTGTTCTGCTGGCAACTGACTCCCCAACCCTGGTAGAAAACTGGATATGTACTCTTAAGCAAGAAAGGGCTGTTGGACCAAATAGGCACAGTGATGAAAAAAAAAAAAAAAAAAAAAAAGTTTACTTTTTGAGATCCCTCGACCTCTTTTTCCTCCACTGGGATCAGAAACTGACCACCTTTTAAATCTTTTATGGAGAAGAGTGTAAGACTTCTCTGGTGAGCCTGACCAGCTTGAGAAAACAAAACAAGGGATACATCAAGTAATTTATCAATAAAATGACACAGCCAGATCACTTAACAGTGAAGCCAGTGATTGAAAAGCTCCCCTGCTAGCCCCACACACATAACATCCAATTAGCTTTTAAAGTGTTCCACTCCTAAACATGAGCCAAGGATCAGCAAACATCTAAGGAAATTTTCTAACATGAAAACCAGAAACCAAAGCAACTGGAAAACAAAGTATCTTGGAAACAAACGTTTATACAGGTTATCATTAATAATCTTAAGAGAAAAAGGTATGTTGGTGTGTCATTTATAACAGATGGGAGGCGGTCTTAGAAAATGATACAATTGGCCGGGCATGGTGGCTCACACCTGGAATCCCAGCACTTTGAGAGGCCAAGGCAGGTGAATTACAAAGTCAAGAGATCAAGACCCTCCTGGCCAACAAGGTGAAACCCCGTCTCTACTAAAAATACAAAAATTAACTGGGCGTGGTGGCGCACACGTGTAGTCCCAGCTACTCGGGAGGCTGAGGCAGGAGAATTACTTGAACCCAGGAGGCGGAGGTTGCAAGCCGAGATCGTGCCACTACACTCCAGCCAGGCAACAGAGTGAGACTCCATTTCAAAAACAAACAACAAAAAAAAGAAATTGACATAATTGGCCATGCACCGTAGCTCACGCCTGTAATCCCAGAAAGATTCCATATATAAAACCCAAGATCTAAAATGAATTTCTGAGGCCAAGTGCAGTGGCGCACACCTGTAATCCCAGCACTTTAGGAAGCTGAAGCAGGTGGATCACCTGAGGTCAGAAGTTAGAGACCATCCTGGCCAACATGGCGAAACCTGTCTCTACTAAAAATACAAAAATTAGCTGGGCACGGTGATGTGCATCTGTAGTCCCAGCTACTCAGGAGGGTGAGGCAGAATTGCTAGAACCCAGGAAGCCGAGGTTGCAGTGAGCCAACATGCCACTGCACTCCAGCCTGGACGGCAAGAGAGAAACCCAGTTCCCCTTGCCACTCCCAACCCCCCAAAAATAAATTGACACAATTGAAATTTTGGGATGTTTCTAAAAGTTGAAAGATAAGGCAGGATGCCATGGCACATGCCTGTAATCCCAGCACTCTGGGAAGCCAAGAGTTCAAGACCAGTCTCTGCGAAAATTTAAAGATTATGGAAACACATGTCCAGGTCTTATACCCAAGTAAGAACTCCAAAGATTGAGGTGGGAGATGGGGAAAGAATCAGTTCAGTATTATTTCCCGTATCTGAAGAGCAAGTTTACACAATGACAAGACTGAGTGCCCAGTACAATGTATGAAACAAACCCAAGATATAGTTGTGAAATATAAGAACACTGGTAAAACCTCAAGTGATTTGAGAGTTAAGAAAGATTCCATATATAAGACCCAAGATCTAAAATGAATTTCTGGGGCCAGGTGCAGTGGCACACGCCTGTAATCCCAGCACTTTGGGAGGTCGAAGCAGGTGGATCACCTGAGGTCAGGAGTTTGAGACCAGCCTAACACGGTGAAACCCCATCTCTACTAAATACAAAAATAAATTAGCCTAGCATGGTGGTGCGTGCCTGTAATTGCAGCTACTCAGGAGGCTGAAGCAGAATTGCTTGAATCTGGGAGGCAAAGGTTACAGTGAGCCGAAATCATGCCATTGCACTCCAGCCTAGGCAACAAGAGTGAAACTCCATCTCAAAAAATATTTTAAAATTTCTGGCCAGGCACAGTGGCTCAACGCCTATAATCCCAGCACTTCGGGAGGCCAAGGCGGGTGGATCACCTGAGGTCAGGAGATTGAGACCATCCTGCCCAACCAACATGCTGAAACCGTCTCTACTAAAAACACAAAAATTAGTTGGGTGCAGTGGCATGCACCTGTAGTCCCAGCTACTCGGGAGGCTGAAGCAAGAGAATCAATTGAACCTGGGGGGTGGAGGTTGCAGTGAGCCAAAACAGCACTACTGCACTCCAGCCTGGTGACAAAGATAAAATAAATTTCTTAAGTAATCCAGTGCAAAACAGAACTTTACAGACAGGAAGGTCTCAAAGCTATTGGAAGATGTCCTGCACCCAAACAACAAAGCCATGGGATCTGGGAAACAGATCATAAATCGAGAGGCAGAGAACCCCGTAACAATGGCAAAGCCCAACTTAACAGTACTCAATTCAAAAAGAGCAAACAGTTCAGATTAGAATACAGAAAACCATGAAGAAAAACATGAAACTCATTAACCAATTAACATATACAAAAATAATTTTTCAGGCCAAGCTCGATGCTCACACCTGTAATCCCAGCTCTTTGGGAGGCCAAGGCGGGCGGATCACGAGGTCAGGAGATCGAGACCATCCTGGCTAACAGTGAAACCCTGTCTCGACTAAAATTAAAATTTGCTGGGCATGGTGGCATGCGACTGTAGCCCCAGCTGCTCAGGAGGCTGAGGCAGGAGAATCGCTTGAACCTGGGAGGTGGAGGTTGCACCGAGCCGAGATTGTGCCACTTCACTCCAGCATGGGCAACAGAGCAACTCCATCTCAAAAAAAAAAAAAGTTTTTTCTTCAATTCTTCTTAGTTCAAAAATTCATGTCTAGTGGACAGAAAATTATCTAGGCCAAGAGGTAATGCTAAAAATGGCTGAGAATTGCAATTTAAATGAGTCAGACATACATAAAATAGTACAAAAATCAGGTTACAAGTTGTTTTTCAAGAATAGGTTTGATCTCCAAAATTAACCATAAAATTAAGTAGTGTTGGTCTCTCAGTACGTACTAATTATCTGCCAAATGTGTAGCCTGTAAACATTTTACCAAAGAATCAAAA